TAGGCACTTTATCTTGGTTAAGTTTAGTCAGTGTAAACATAATTATGGGCTGTTTAATCCGCTCAGAGTAGTTTGCAAGAACCTAAACGTCCATTAAAGCAACATTGCTTAATAGGCGTAATTTACCTATGTCGTACTTTAACTAGCTCTTAACTTTATAATGTCACGATGAGTCGAAAATGAATTATTGTTAACTATTATCGGTTGCCAAGCTTATGCATGTCTGCGACGGCTACACAAGCGGAACTCATCATTAATCATGGATTGGGGATATTTCTATGGTCGAGGAAATATTTTATTATGTTAGCGGGATATTTTTGAAAATGGTCAAGGATATTTATGATAAAAGAGGATATTTGTATTTATTGAAAGCAACTTTGCTAAACAAATGTATGTGTTTATAAACCTTGTAAACGGAAAAACCAGATAACGGTTTTTAGCCGTTTTAGCGAAAATTCAACTCAGTGCAATTCAATTAGTTTCAACAAAGCCATTTCACACAAAGAAGTTGTAAGAAGTGAATAATTGCAAAAAAAATTTAAAAAAGGAGTTATAAAAGTTAAAAATTAGAAGAAGAAATTTGTGAAACATTTACATAAATGTGAAATAGGGGAAAACCCAAAAAATTATAAATTTATAAATTTTATTTTATTTGATAATAAAGCTATTATAAGTTAAACAAGAGAAGAGGAACTTCAACAAAAATAAGAGCATTATTTAGTGTATTAAAATCTTTCCTAATTTTAACAAAGTTAAGTTCTAGGTTCATAACGTAAGAACAAGAACCGAAAGGCTGTGGTTAGTCCATATGAGACGCGAATGTGGATGTATGAGTAAAAATAAAAAAAATCTTGCACAGAGCTTGGTTATCAAAAAAGACCTCCCGAGTCGTAATGAATAAATATTCGAACGGCTGGAAGAAACTTATTTATTGGGCTATTTCGCTCTTGCGAACTTTTCAATTAGTCTGCTAATAAAAGAAACCACTTTCGCTTAAAATCAGAGAATCGTCTGCGTTCTTATCGTTTAGGGGTTGTCTTGAATTGTCGTTTAATATTAAGGCATAAACTTTTCCATTAAAAATCTTGAAATCTTCGCATAAATACTTGCAGACTGGAAAGGATTTCATAAAATTTGCAAAATCATATGCATTAACGTTAAGCGTCAAAAAGAGATTGTATCAATTCACAAAATAAACTTTTCAACACATAACTAATATCGTTGGTTTTTGGGCAAAAATTCCTCTTTCCCGTTCCATCCAGAGAAATGTAGAGAAGCACAATTGTAAAGGAACTCTAACCTATTTTCTGCAACAATTGTTTACAGGTTCGCTGCCCAACGTCATAATATATACTCATAATAATCTTGTGCTGAAACACCAAAGTATGCTTTTAACATCCTCGAAAAAGCATTACGCCGACATATCTCCTGATAAATGTTCTATATCTGTTTTCATGGCAAAAAGCTAACATATATGGGCTCAAACTGACATCGTCAAAATTAGAATTAAAGAGAAAAATGTTTTTTTTTAGTTGGGTTCTCGTTCGAACAAAACGTTCGTGTAAAAAACTGTATTTGCTTTCAGTGATGAACCGTTATTTCAAACTCGTGTAAACGAAGCCTATATAAAAAAAAATTGATGTATTTGATATTCTTGACTATTAGTCGTACTTTTTGGACACAGCATCATTTCAAATTGTATAAATTTAAATTATATTCTTATGAGATAAAAATTGCACCCACCAATCAGTTGAGTTGAGTTCGTTCAGTTGAATTAGCTTACCTTGATTGTGAACTGTGCAGTTTAATGGATCAACAACTCCGATTTTTCGACTGATCTAAATTAGGAAAAATTGACAGAACTTCTATTTACGATTTCTGATTATTACAAACGGAGTGACAAAATGAATATGGTGCATAGATAATTTTAAGAACAGGTGACTGGTTGTGGTAAAAATACTTTAATAAGATGGCGTAAAAAACTTTACCTTTTTTTATTTTCTTTTTTTTGCACAAAGGTATTGACATAAAATTTTAACAAAAAAACAATCCAATTACATTTCTCTATTTCTTAGGATGGAATTGATAATTAAAACTGATAAACTAATTCTAATGAGATTCTCCTCTCGATTTTAATCGATTATAAAATTATTGAATAAACCAAACAAAAAATTTTGATATATACAAAAATAAAATTTTTTAAGTACACAAAACATAACATGGAATTCTTAAAGATTTTTTAACTTAAATTAGTTCAGTTAAAATAATAAAATGCCGGTCTTGGACCTTAAAATATTTAGCCTATAATGAAATGCTTAATTATTCGAGAATTTCAGCATACGCGCTTGGCTACGTGATTGCAAACGTATTTCGGCGGGTTGCTGTATCCACGGCTCGCCATCGGCCTGCATTGGACAGGTTGATTTGATAACCAACTAAATAAGAATGGAAATATTAAAGTGTTACTTGAAAATTGTCGTTGATCCTCTTACCTTTACATGCTTGGCCTGACCTAGGCGAACGGGTTTGCTGATGCCTACTTGAAGTTGCGCTATATGAAATGACGAAACAATTCCGAAAACTTCTACGACACCATCCCATATACAATTATGGATTCTAGGTAATTCGTCAGCATTGCTAAGCTCTGAGTAATTAAATTAAGGTACATATTACTAGTACTTGCTATGCTATTTCTTTTTTACGGTTTTCAACGAAAACTTACCACACAGTTTACAACCGGCCCCCCAAGAATCTATATTTAAAAACACTATCGATTGTAATTCAGGTAATTTTATCAATTTATTATCCAAATACATTTCTAACTTTTGCTCTAAACCTTCACAGTCCCGTTGTACTATTTGCTGCGTACCAAAACCGAAATAAATTAACTACAAAAATCATATAAAATGATAATAATGAAATTGATTAAATAATTCCTTATCGTCATTTACTTCGAATAAATTCTTACCTTGTTAAAGATGCGATTACTTAGTAAATAGAAGCAAGACTCTCGAGTTTTATGAAAATTATATGTAACTAGAGCATCAACCCCGATACTTACATAACTATATACGTGAACAGTTTTGATAGGATGCCGTTGAATGGGCAAGCGGTAATGTAATTTTTCAATTTGTACATCAAAACGATCTAAGTTTATGGAACGGGCTTTTCTTATCTAAAAGAGAGATAAAAAATCATATAGTACCTTTGAAGAAGTTTCTGGTTCTTTTTACATACGTTATTCAAGATTTCAACTGGATCTAAGATGGATGGTGGTTCTGAACCCCAGCCCAAGACACGTGATAAATCATTACCAGTACCTAAAGGCATAATCGCTACAGCTGGAACAGGCTGCAGAAGAAAAAGATTGGACATCTTTCTTACCAAGAGCAATATCATACTTATGTTTACCTTTATATTTAAAGTGTAAATTGTATTTAGAACCCAACCAATAGTACCGTCACCTCCAGCTACCAAAATACGACAAGATCTGGGACTGGCCTTAGCCGCCCATTGCATTGCATCTTGCGGTCCGCGAGATCCTAGTTCCATAACTTGCAACGGATGCAAATATCCTCTCAATAGAGAAAGCACATCTGCACCAGATTTACTACCGGACTGAGTGTTGGCGATAACAATTAAGGGCTCCCAATTCTCTATATTAGGCGGTTTTATTCCAGCCAAATGCAGTCTCACCGATTCTCGTGTACGGGCAGCAACTATACAGTAAGGCGGAAAGATCATATCGCGAAATTCTCCAAAATCGCACTCGCCTTTTATATCGATACGCTTGTAACAATTATTGTGATAACATCTTTGGCACCAGGCACAACGCCAACCGCTTAAACCAACCTCTTCGATATCCTCGCTACAGGCGGAACAAGCGGCAATCGAAGGCAAATTACCTTTTATCCATAGATGGCGAATGGAGCGGGTATTTCGAACCCACTTCTCTTTACATTTGAATTGTTTTTCGGCCTTTTTCGTACAAGGTGTGTGCGAGCAAATGCCACAGCAATCACAAAATACACCTGATGAAGGTGCTAACAATATCTCACATATATTGCAATAACAAGCCTTAAATAGAAATTACTTTTAAGCTGATCTCAAGAGATTTAATAATCCTACCCTGTTCAATATTTTGATAGATTTCCAACCATGTTTAGTTTTACCAGTCATGCAAATGACATCTTCGATTAAGAGACTACGACAGAAAACAAATAAAGCGCATAAAGCCAACAAGGAGCCAATTAAGGCTTCAGAACTTAATTCGATACTAGCTAAATCCATATTTTCCAGCGGACTATATGTACGAAAAGTTATGCATATGTAAGGAAAAACTAACTAGAGATTCACTAACACTGACAAATTATTTCTCTTTTCTTTGTTTTAGGTGCAAAAATTTGTATTTTAACGTAAAAATATTAACAGAAATAAAATCAATATAAAGACTGAGAAGAAGACAAAGCACATAAAAACTTTTCAATTGTAATTGAAATTTGCTGTTGACAAAGTAGACAGAGTGATTGCCAACTTCTTATTCTCTTTTTTTAAATATAGACATGAAATAGTTACTAGAAGGGTTTTTTTAAAGATATTTATTGAACTACCCTGTATTTAATTCAGAGATTTCTTTATTTTCTTTTTCTCTTCGGTATTTTTTTTGTGCAAAACGACGTGTATTCCACGTGCGTTGCATTATATTGAAAACAATTGTAATTGAATTCAGAAAATTTTATTACAATCCACGATGGGTCGTAAAGCAGAATACAGTGAAAAGTCTAAAAAGGGTCCTGGGCGCAAGGCTCGTAGACAAGGACCTCCAAGCTTTCCCAAGAAATCCTTTGGTAATTTTTTGAGTTCTTTAATATTTAAAGCATTTATTTATTTGGTGCTATTAAACTGAAATTTATTGTAAAGCTCCCCTCGAGGATGTGGATAAAACTCTGACGCATCGTCAAAAGCAACGTTTAGCCAAACATTTAAAGAAAAAGACTGAGCTTAAGGAAAGACGAAAATTATTTAAAGAAAAGAAGAAATTGAACAAAAAACAGCAATTATATCAAACTGATAGTGAAGGCGATGAAAAGACCACTTTAGATAACGGCCACTCAATGGATCAAGGGGAAAATGAAACCATTGATGCCGTGGTTAAACAAAAGCCGAATATAAAGAAAACCAAACGTTATACAGATGATAATCGCGATTGGTTAACACCTAAGCAAAAGAAAAAGCAACAAGATGCAAAAATAGATGAAGAGGAAGACGACAAAAGTGGATCTGAAAATGAAGAATCTGCTCTTGACGATCCAGTTTCTCATGAGAACATTTGTGATGAAATTGCTGTATTCAAAATGGGAAAATTGGATGATTTATCTGATGAAGAAAATTGCGATGATTTTGAAAAATCTGACGAAGAGAATGATAATCCAGATGATGGAGATGAACGAGACGATCTTTTACCTATTGAAAGAGACTGTAAAAAACTTAAAAAGCGTGAAGCTGAACTAGTAAAACGGGCAGACGAGGAACTGCAAATGTTGGTAGGTCAACAAGATGTTTTTCAATTTGCCGAAGATAGTGAGGAGAGAGATCTTACTCTTCAAGATGTTTTGCAGCGTATTAAAGATGTAAATCTAGTGTTGTCGGATTTTAACAAATACCGTCAACCGAATCGGTCACGCAGTGAATATATGGAATTATTGAAAAATGATTTATGTATATATTATAGCTACAACGAGTTTCTCATGTCAAAGCTAATGGATATATTTCCTTTATCCGAATTGATGGAGTATCTGGAAGCTTCCGAAGTAGCTCGTCCTCTAACTATTAGAACTAATACTTTAAAAACTAGGCGGAGAGATTTGGCAGCTGCCTTAATTAATAGAGGTGTAAATTTGGATCCCTTAGGTAAATGGACGAAAGTTGGTTTGGTTATTTACAATTCCCAGATTCCATTAGGAGCTACACCGGAATATTTAGCCGGTCATTATATAATCCAAGGAGCTTCTTCTTTATTGTCTGTCATGGCTTTGGCGCCTCAAGAAGGCGAACGCATTTTAGATATGTGTTCGGCTCCGGGAGGAAAGGGGTCTCACATAGCTGCCATTATGAAAAATACGGGTGCATTGTTTGCTAATGATGCAAACAAAGATCGGATTAAAGCTGTCGTTGCAAATTTTCATCGCTTGGGCGTGGTTAACTCAGTTATATCTTGTGAAGACGGCTGCAACTTTCGCCAAATTATGACTGGCTTTGATCGCATACTTTTGGACGCTCCTTGCACTGGCACGGGAGTCGTTTCAAAAGATCCCAGTGTTAAAAGCACTAAAACAGCGGTAGATGTGCAGCGTTGCTATAATTTGCAACGTAAATTATTATTAAGTGCTATAGATTGCACTGATGCCAAGTCTTCTACCGGCGGATATATCGTCTATTCCACTTGCTCGATATTGCCCGAGGAAAACGAGTGGGTTATTGACTATGCCTTAAAAAAACGTAACGTTAAATTGGTGCCGACTGGCTCGGATTTCGGTGTCGAAGGCTTTACAAAATATCGTCAGTACCGTTTCCATCCCAGTTTAAATTTGACTCGCCGTTACTATCCGCACGAACACAACATGGACGGCTTTTTTGTAGCTAAGCTAAAAAAGTTCTCTAACACTATACCAGTTAGTCATGAAGTTGAAAAGGAGGAAGATGAACATCAGCTTGATGAAGATATGACGATAACTGTATCAAGTGCGGAACACGAAGAAGAGCTAAGAAACGACAAAGTGAACGAACCCGTGAAAATTGGTAAACGGGCTGGTAAACCTAATCTCTCTGAACTTGAATTGGAGTTAAAGAAAAAGAAACTTGAAACGAACAAAACAAAATACGTTGTGAAGGTTTTCGAGAAGCCGTCAAAAACAAAAAGACCTTTATGTGTGCAAAATACCGATGAAAATCGGCAGGAACTCGACAAAAGTCAAAAGCAAAAGGAAAAATCACAGTTAAAACCAAAAGTAAGCACAGAAGCAGTCGAGTTGATGCCTTTGCTCGAGGGTAAATCAATTAAAAAAAGCAATAAGCTGAAAAATCAACAGAAATCCAAAAATTTGAAAAATTAAAGGTTACAAAGCAGCAAATAAAAGTAAGGCGTGATGTAATGTAATGTAATTATGTTAATAAATAAAGGGTCAAGTAATGCAAATTGTTTTGCCTTTAAATAAAACCACGCAAGTTTTTTAAACTGAGGTGGGGTAAGGACGCCACGTTCATTATATTTCTTTCTAATCTTCTAAGCGTACATGTGTATGTTTTTTAAAGTTAAAAACTATTTATTGTCGAAATATTTTTCAATATAATTTTCAACAGTAGCGATTATCATCTCTTTGTTTTTTGTTTTTCTTCATATCTTCCAACTTCACCACACATTATTCTTCAAAATAAATCGTCAAATTGCCACTGGTCGAAATTTCAACAGAGGGTAGTGTGCAGATTGAAAAGCCAAGCTTCAAACTGTCTGAATGTTTATAGACATAATCAAGAAGAAGGCATGAGGCAAACTAAAAATAGGAATTCGGTTACTATAGGTTTCAAAAACAATTTTTTTGCTTCGCCTTCAACAGAGACCGTAATTTTGGACTAGGCCTTTTAAAATATTGTAATTAAAATTTTTGTACAACCTACTTACCAAAGAATGTCGCATCGCACATTAATGCCAATGCGTCGACAGGGGTTATATAATTGGCTCCAAACAAACGCCGATGAATCTTTGGCACTCATCAGTGCAACAATTCAGTCAAAATTCTATTTTTTATTTTGTTGCTAGTGTGATCGTAAACATTATCTATTCTCGCACCCAAAATACGTTTGCGCAAACAAATAGCAAAACATGAGTACATGAGTACCGCTACTACTAGTATATTATTACCCAGCACGGTTACCCTGATAGGCGCGTTGCCAATTGTTTTGAATGGCTGACTTCTCCTTAGGCCTACACCATTATAAACTTAACTTAAAAATAAAATATATTTAGATAATATCTATAATAATAATAAATAAATCTTAGTCCCGTTAATACATAATATACATATATAATAAATAAATGTAAATTGATCTGGATCACTGCTGGTGTGCTGATATCTGCAAAAGAAAAATATTGTTGTTACTGAATTTTACATATAAAGATGACGACAATTTACCATTTGGCCTACCGAAGTATTCTTTTGAAGCGATAATGCAGATGTATGCTTTTTTTTTAATCTAAAATGAAATAAAAGCAAATGAATAATTTATATATAATAATAAGTAAAAATAAACACAAACTTACCTTTGGCTTGCAGCGAATTTGCACGTATTTCAGGCGGGGTGCAGCGGCGCTTTGTTCCTTTTTAATCTAAACTAAAATATGAGAAACTAAATAAGTTATATATAAATATAAATGTATAATAATAATAATTTTACCTTCACTTTATATATAATAATATATTTACCTTCACTTTAATGTATTTAATGCACGATTTCTCTCTGTTCGTACGGCGGGCGGATCTTTTGCAAACTAAAATAGAAGTAAGTAAATAAATAATCTATAGATATAAATTTATAATAATATATTTATTTATTTTTATTTATTTATTTATTTATTCCACTTATACAAGAAACTCAACTAAAAATTTTGACAGTCGAGTTCAAATGACTCTTAAAGTAAATCTTAAGTTAATTAATATTAAAACTTAGTATAAGTACAATAAAACAAATAAGAAGGAAAAAAAAGAAAAAAGCATGTACACAACTAGAATAGAGCCACACCTACAACCGGTACAGGGCCAAATTGCGAATGAACCCCTAAGCCGTCGCAGACATGCATAAGCTTGGCAACCGATAATAGTTAACAATAATTCATTTTCGACTCATCGTGACATTATGAAGTTAAGAGCTAGTTAAAGTACGACATAGGTAAATTACGCGTATTAAGCAATGTTGCTTTAATGGACGTCAAAGAGTCCGATAATGAGAATAAGTGACAGACATCATTTAGGTTCTTGCAAACTACTCTGAGCGGATTAAACAGCCCATAATTATATTTACACTGACTAAACTTAACCAAGATAAAGTGCCTAGAGAAGCGGTTGGAGCCATTAAAGCTTATTTCAGTAAGTAATGCAGGCGAGTCAATAGCACCATTTATTACTTTGATTACGAAGGAAACGCCAAGAATAACTCTACTTTTTTGGAGAGACGGTAAGGACAACAGAATCAATCTATTTTTATAGGGAGGAAGAGAGGCAGTCGGATCCCAACCCAAAATCCTAAAACCAAGCGCTTTGCTTAACAAGAGCTCAATGTGCAAGTTAAAGCGTAATCTATGGTGAAATAGAATGCCCAAATCTGTGAACGTATCGACGTTCTCCAATTTATGCGAATCAATGAAATACTGAGTAATGAATGGCTTTCTTCTTGAGAAAGAAAGCTTCTTACATTTATTTAGATTTAGTTTCAGAAGATTCAAAGAGCATCATGCAACCAAATTATTTAAGTCACTTTGAAGATGATGGAAATGCGATTCTAGAGAGAAGGAAGAAAACGGTTTCACATCATCAGTGTACATTAAGATCTAACTGGAATTAATCACAAAGGGCAAATGATTGATGTATAAATTAAATAAAATGGGTCCTAAGTGGCTAGCTTGAGGTAGGTCAGACGTCACAGGGAATTCATCCGAGGTAATGAAGTTAAACAAAACCCTGAATGATCTACTATGCAGATAAGAGATTATCTATTTCACTTAATAGAAAGGAAAGCCAGAGGCTTGGAGTTTAAAGATAAGTAAGTTATGGTTAATCAAACCAAACGCTTTGCTTAAATCAGTGTAAATTACATCTGTGCGGGAGCCAATAGAAAAAGCCTTGAAAACAGGACAAGTAAACTCTAACAAATTGGTAACTGTTGATCGTCCTTTCCGAAATCTATGCTAGTGTAGAGAAATATACGAATTAATGGCAAATGTCAAATGGTGAGTCACAATTCGCTCAAACAGCCTAGGCAAGACACTCAACTTGGCTATACCTCTGTAGTTCTCAACAAATTGCCTACTACCACTTTTATGAATAGGAATAAGAAAACAAGTCTTCCAACACAAAGGGAAAACAGCTAAATTCAAGGACTTGTTAAAAGTCTTTGAAATAATACCACATAGCTCGGCAGCACAAGATATAAGTACACATGAGGGGATTCCATCAGGTCCAGGCGAACAATTATATTTTAGAGAGCTCAATCCTTCAAAAATATCATTTTCAGATATAACAACATTAGGAATTGAAATTAAATTAGAAATCGGATATGGATAGTTTGCTGATAAATCAAAATTGGCAGTTGAAAAGTTTTGTCGGAAGTATTCCGCAAAGAGATTAGAGGTTTCAAAATCATCCGAGGACCCGGAGCCATTAAAAGACACTTGTGAGGGATTTGTGGAGATTTTTCTTTCGGAATTAACGAACTTAAAAAAGTTCGGATTAGCAACCAAGGAGGATTTAACAAACTGAAGTTATCTGCACGGTTGAGGGAGTTAAATTTAAGCCTTGCCACTGAGTAAGCGAAATAGACGATAGAAGAACCACTTTTCGAAAATTTTTTGAAAGGCTTGTTTTTCCTATTCTTAATTGTTTTATTAAACCACGGGGGCACTTGCTTCGAGGATGGGACTGCTTGATCGGAACAGATGCAGAAATAGCTTGATTTAATATATTGTAGAAAGACGACAGTAAGCTATCAATACTTCCCACTGACAAATCAAGCACAATATGAGAAAGATGTGATTTTAGCATGGAAACATTGATTTTATGGAAATCATAAAATTGATATGAAAAATTTGAATTTGGAACGTTATAGAAGTTGAACCAACCAACATGCTTGTAATGAAAGGAAATACCCAATCCTGGATGATATGGATCCTCAGGTAAACTAAACGGGAGGCAACGATTAACGCAAATCTCAGGAAAATTGACAAACCAAAGATCAAGCAATCTACCATTGCACTTAGGGGTACCATTGTATTGAACTAAATTATGATCAAATAATTCATTGAAGAACACAACTGCTCTACCAGATGTTGAGGCAGGAATCAAACAGCCAGAACTGTCACTGTAACACCAAATGACTTGAGGCAAATTGAAGTCACCCAACGCAATAACCATATCGTTAGGTTTAGATTGCTTGGCCTTTTCACAAATGAGGGCGGCCTGTTTCTTACGTACAGAGATATCCGAATTTGGGGGAATATAGGAGCAGGTCACATATAAGTGTTTATTAGAAAATTTTACTCGAAATAAATTCAACGTCGGAAGTGGTTTGAAATTCAAGTGAATAGGAGGGAACTGCCGAAGAAGTGGCAATTAAAACACCCCCACCATTGCGATAGTTTCTGAAAACTTGAAACGAATTATGGTAAAGTTCCGACGAAAGTAGATCCGGCTTTATCCATGTTTCAGTGAAGACCAGACAGGAAAACTCCGTGCTCACGGAATATAGAAAGGTAGAACGAGTTTTCGATTTTAGACCTCTAACATTTTGATAAAGGAGAGAAAATGAGCCTGAAGAAATATTTAGTTTTTTGAAGGGGAAAGAGCTACTGCATTAGCATTACGGGGGACAAATTCCTTAATTAAGGATCCAACCAGCCACAATGGTTTATTCAACATCAAATTCATATTTTCAGTCGAAGCTAGAATTTTAAAAGATGAGATAGCTCTAGATTGAAAAGGAACCAATTTGAAAATACTAACGCGCTTTAAATTTACATAACGGGCTTTCACTGCCAGATAACTTTTTATGTTATCAACAGATGTATCTGGTGCCAGTCTTGGCACAAATATTGCCTTTCTGGGAGGAACTGCCTTCAAGCATATGTCACCTGTACTAGGAGCAGCAGGGTTCACGGATGGGGAGTTATGAGTTGGAGAAAATATAGCAGGGGTAACCACGCTTGCACGAGCAGCTTGTGCGACGTGCTCAGTTTGGCGACCAGCGTTTACACTCGAACAGCCAGGAGGAGCGGACGATTTACTGTTATCATTTTTAGTTTAGGCGATGACACCTGGGAAGATTGAGTGACGTCAGTGGAAGGATACCCTTGCCACTTTAGCATAGCTGAAGCCAGAAACGCTAACATTCTTTGTAGACTTTAAGGAATCGCTAACTTGCACCGACGAAACGGACTTAGGAGAACTCAGAGGTGACGAACCACACGCTACGCTGCGAGTTGAAACTTTGTTAGCTGGAGAGGAAGATGACTGCGCAATATAACGAGACTCATCAAATACAGTCTTGATTATTTCAAATTTCTCCCACAAAGAGCCGAGATTTTTGCTCAAATCTGAGAAACAATTTCTCGTCTCCGTGAAGAGTTTGTAGAAATCAATGTCCCGCTTTCTGCAGTCAGGACATGACCATCATAAACCTTTAGAAGGGTCAAGGACTGCAACAGCAGCACGGCCGATAATACTAGCACACTTTGCATGTCCAAAACGATCACACAGCCAACAAGAAATGAATCGCTCAGATTCAGGGCCTGTTTTCGCACGACATGGTGTAAATAAGCAATCCATGTCCACTGAAAAGAACAAAAGTAGCTTATGAAGGAAGAAAAGAAAAACTAAAAAATTCCACGGCATCAATTTTCAGCAAATTAAAGCAAATTTCTCACTTCCCTGCCCACTGTAAATATAGAGCGAGGCTAAAGAAACTGTAAACAAAGATTAACAGGCAAAAAGAGAGACTTTTGCTAAGAGTTCAATTGTTGATTACACTAAACCAAAATGATTTTTTCGCATGAATGGTTATTAAATTCATACACGTTAAATTCACACTTTATTCTTTTAGAGAATTTTTAAAATTAAACACGAATAAATTAAAAAACTTCAGAAATACGCTAAAAAAATTGAAATATTTCTTGCACAGAATAAAAACGCGACTGCAACACGCACGCAGAGTTGCCAGATTAGTTTAGCAATTTTATTCAATATATACTTGCAGGTAATTAAATAACCCTTTACTAAAGCACGTACCACTCAAAAATTCATTCAACTCTGAACACATTAAAGTGCAAATTGTTATCACATTAATAAATTGAAAAAGGAAAAAAGCAAAACCATAGGGAAAGATGAAAAACAAATTAAATCACAATTGCTTCTTTATTTTTCCATTTTTCAAGTGTACAAAAAAATTATCTCATCCGATTCAAATTTTCCACATCTATTATTTCCTACTGGTTTTTGTTGAAAGCTGTTGAAAATTTTCTATTTTTCCGTACAAGATCTTTTTTCAAGTGAAGACGATAACGTGAGATTGCGATCAGTAGGCACTACATGGACATACCTCAGACCGACAAATATGCTGAAACCAATGCAAATAATTATTCTGCATTTTTCGGTATAAGATTGATTTACCTTAAGATCTTCTGTGTGTTACATATATTCGCACAAAATTAATACAATCTACACAACAAATGATGTCAGGTATAAAGACATAAAGGGTAGAGAGAGCCGTAAAGTTATCTATGAAATTTCGATATTGATCTAAATTTTAAATTTTGCTTGCATGGTGGTGATCAACAACATACTAGAGTTCAACCTATTTATGTTGTATATCCATATTCACTTTTATAGGTTTGCTTTAACGAGTTTTGTGAAAAAATTGAAAAAAAAGCGTTTGTGGTCGTAAAATTTGTATTCAAGATCTAAAAAAAAAAATATTTTATTTTTAGTAGAAGAAACAGAATTAAACCTGTAAGTACTTTTAATGAAGCTGTTTCCAATTTTTAACTAAAAGAGAACGGATTAAATTCAACTGCTCCATTCCGTAAGTAGTATAGGAGCTTTGTCAGCATGTAATCCATTTGTCTTGCTATCCATTGACCATCGAAATGAGCGTACCATAAACCACGTTTAGCTACGAAAAAGAAGAAGAGAAGAAGTTGTTACGTCAACTTTTTTTTCGAGATAACATTAACTTACTGTTTTCGGGAGCATTAGCGCGCATAAAAGGTATACGGAAATAACGATGCTATGCATGAAAGAATTTGTTTTCTCCGTTCATTTCATAAGTCCACATATAGATAGATGTAAGGAGCAAAGCAGCACACAGTTCAGTTCAATTGATTTCAGTGTTTTTAACGTTTTTGGGATGTGTGGTTAAGTCTTATCGCACAGAAGAAGCAATCTATCTTATGTTATCTATTGACATGTTGTAAAATAAACGGTTTCGTAATACGTGTAACAGTGAAATCCGGCTGGAAAACAATTTCAATCCTAGGTCTACCGTTCGTTTTTAACGACAAACAATCAGCTATACTAAAACCATAACCCGCATATGGCTGATCATCTATAAATATTCCTTTTATCCAAATAGGTAATTCTCCAGAATTACAAGCCGTAAAGACGCGTTTTGCCAGAAGCTGAAACGCCAAAAACGAACATATAAATCAATCTTATTCTTATTATTCATATGAGAATGAACCTTGTGTACGACATCCACACCAACCTTACTTGGATTTTGTGTCGCAGAACAAATCGTTCATTTGCAGTTCAGAGACGAGCGGATTTAGTGAGCCGGGCTCGCGATTACTTAAACGAAATTGCGATTGGACTGTCTTGTATGTGCAAAGAATATTTGCAAGTTGAACGTATACTCAGTTCGGAAGAGCAAAGTTTACCCTGAAATAATATCGAGAAAAAGACGATTGCCGTATTATCGAAGAAATTGCCTTCAAATTAATCGTAGTGTTTAATAATATTGAAAAAAGATGGCCGAACTGAATAAGACCTGTTTGTCTCCTAATAAAGCATCGATTTTAATATTTTTGCTAGGAATTCACGAAATTTTTCCTATGGATCACGCAATTAAAGAATTCAATGACGTCTGCAAGCAAATTCGCTAACGGTCTCTATTACTTGTAATACGTGCAGAATTAAATTTTATCTCATACGTTTACACTCTTTAATATTACCCAATAAACAACTTATGTATTCCGTCGGTCTGCGCCGGGCTACCGCAAATATGAAAATATGATTGATACAAGATGAATACAATAAATATATGGTGAATAAACCATGTTTGCGTATAAAACAGTGTTTCGAACAAATCGTTTTTATAATAAAACAAATAAAATAATTGTAGCTATGGTAGCCTACCGTGATTAAAAGTTTCACATTAACTTATACTTAAACGATGCGAATTTATAAATTAATTTATAAAACCAAAGAAATCAACGATTGGCGATAGGTACGACGAGATATACTTATGATATACTTTGTCCCCTTTCTTGGTTGCTTTCAAATCGTGTTGTAAACTATTAAGAGGGCTTCCAGCAAACACTGTTTCTAATTTAATTTCCAAATGCACAGTCGTTTGATGCAATTCAATTGATTCCTCGGAATCCACAGTAAATTGAATGGCCTCCTTTGGGTGATATCATTCGTCGATACAGGTGACTGGGGCTAAACCATTTATTTTATTTGCTTGGCAAAATGCGAGCTGCTGTTTCTGTTTCAGTAATCCCATTAGTTTTTATCACAAACGACATTTTAAATAATTTCACATGAATATGATGGATTTTTCTCTCGATTCTTAGAAAATAACGTTTTTTGTGCAGTCTTTTCCAGCAGATCAAAACTTACAAATGGAGATCGCGAAAATGAACAATAACAATGAAAATTGCCGTTAAGTAATGCTATTTGTTTTTGTTCCTTTTCATTAATGTTGTTAAGCTACAAATGCGTTATACCATTTTTTGTATTAAATCTTTACGATCTTAGATCTTAGAAGTGGCAACGCATTTGCAATAGAACAAATTAGCTTTTTTATATTGGAAAACGGCGTTTATAGATTACATGCAAGTTCGCAAGAATGAAAAATGATGAAGGATTTGCTGAGATTTCATAAATGACCTTAGGCTTAAAATGGACAAAACACCATTGAGGAAGTGTCTTGTATATACTAGATAAGCATAAACGTAATTATAAAATGATGTTCAAAATATAATGAGACTTATCGTGCCCCTAGGGATGACTGGTGGATTATAATTTATAATTGGGTAGCTTGTTGAGAAAAAGAACTGAAACTTTTGGTTTTTACTTTTAATGAGATCGCTATTATTTTCAATTTCTTCTTGTCCAAGTCAGTAGAATTAATAGATTCAGTATACAATTACTTTCAAGTTCCAATCACTTTCAATATAGAATTATTTTCAATTTCTTCTTGTATAAGTCAGTAGAATCACTAGATTCAGAATCAATCACTTTCAGTATACAATTACTTTCAAATAACCGTTATGCTATCAAACTATGAAAATTTATCGTATTTTTACAAAAGCGAAAGTGTACAGATCGTTATGTTTTTAATTGCATATGAGCAATAGTGTAAATGTGTATGTAGGTTAAAACGATGATCATATATGCTTCGCTCAATTATGTGTATGCAATGTTTCTCTTTCCTCAACAGCAAAGCAAAACAAAAATTTGTTTTCGTAGACGGCTTCTCAATCATAGCGCCATACGGGAAATTTTCTGCTTATTGCATAGAGTGTAATAGACAGCGTCGAATGCATATCATTACTGTAAATAACCAGACAACTGATAATTTCGCTGTCGAATATACGGAATTTCCATACTAATTAAATTCTCCGGCGCGGCTTGCATTTTTTCAATTAAAACGGTAAAGCAGACAAACAAATGATAAAATGTTGATACATTTCGCTCAAAATAGAAAATTTGAATTTCCTAGGAACTTCAGGCAGTAATAACACTAGAGCTGTTAATTAGCGACAACGTACGTTCCTTCTCTTTCGTACTTATTAATTGTACGACAAAGAATGCTATTAAAATGCAAAACCATAGTTTCGTAAAAATTATAAAGTACAGTTAGCTGGATATAAAGGTGGTCCAATATATAAGGCAAAACGACTTTCCCATCCTGCACACATTGTTTTTTATAAAATTATCAACTCCATATTGAACTTACAAAGTGAAGAAAACGTAGAGCGGAAGGAAAGTCTTAAAATGCATCGGACACAAATGAGCTGCCAAGAAACATATACAGAAAAGATATGTAAGTGCCATCATGGAATTTGCTAAGAATTACTTTAATAATCACGATAAATCGTCTGAAAGTACTTTCATTGCAACGTAAATCTGTTGCGAAAGATGGAGAAGGTCTAACGTCCTAGCACCCAAATGTGAATGGTTACACTGTTGAGAGGAGATAAAGTTTCACGATCGCATTGGAGAGTGTGATCCTGTGATATGGGAAAGTAAGCAAATGCTTCAAGAATATACACTCTATTCATAGAAATAATCTTCGCTAAAGGTAAAAATTTAAATTCTTAATTTAACTTATATGTTAGTGCTATAAATTATATTTATGCGCGCTTGTTTCTGAAATTATTGACATCTCATCACACAGAAACCAAGCAACCGAGGTATTGTAATGATAAGCAAAATATGTTTTTAAACCTTTACTTCATTAACCCAACCTCCGTGGAGTGGAATGCGGCGCAGGGAGACTTTAAGTTATCGCACGTCACTTGGCGTATCAGTGGTAGCTCGGAATATGTAGTATTATCGCGGCATCTGGTGGAGTTAACGTTATCATGAAAATACCTTCAACGTCATATCTGTAATGCTTGAACCTCTTTTGGAATGGTATTAAAATGGTATTTTAAATGTTCTCAATATTCTCTTTATTAATTAAATTGAACTTAACACAATTTTGTAATAATATAACATTTTTCAGTTCGCATCTGTAAAAAAAAAGTCCGACGGAACCATCGGTGAAATATATATTGTATGTGCTTAGCTGTTGCTTTGACAGCTGCGCGTCACGGTGCGACGGTCTGCAACCATGTTGAGGTTTTGGAATTATTGAAAAAGGATAATGGAAAAGGAGCTAAAGTGTTGGATCATATGACGAGAATAACTCAATAACAATACGAGATGGAAACCGTTACCATAGGGTTTTCATTGAAAAACAACCATAATTGTTTGTATGCTGTTACGCGGGGGCAAAGTACTGCAGGTTCTGGATACCACACACATTTATACGTCTCCTTTTTGGGCATGTCCTCGAATGCACAAATCAAATTTATATAAGCATTAAAGATATTCGGTGTATTGCGAAGTGATTCAGTATAACATTTCCTTATTGTGCATTGTTTTTATTATTCCTCTTCTCTAATGTAAAGAAATAAAATTTTTGAAGAGTCAATTTAACTCTTCAAAAATTTTGCGTAATTGGGTTAAGGGCGATAAGTGGTAGTCTGCTTTAATTATTGTGCAGCCCATTGGGTTCTAATTTCTGTTGTAACTTGCGGATCTCTTTTCTACCATTTTAACAGCATTCGAAGTGTTGCAATTTATTGAAAGCAACTCTGTGCTCTCCCTATTCTAATATGTGATACTTGCTTTTATAAACCTTGTAAAGGAAAAACCAGCTAACGGCTGGTGCGTAAGAAGTTGTACGAAGTGAATAATTGCGAAAGAAAAAAAAAAAAAAAAATTAAAAATTAGAAGTTTGTGAAACATTTAAATAGAACTAAAATAAAAAAAATTCAAAAAATTATAAAATTAAAAAAAATGTAGTGTATTAAAACACTTTTGAAAAATAAAACAGTATATTAAAATATATATATATAATAAGTTAAATAAGTCTAAGCATTTTGATAATAAAAATTTAATAAGTTAAACAAATATAAGGGATTTAAAAATAAAAGTTCATAGAATAAAAATATTATTATTATTATTATTATTAATTTCGCCAGAGAAATAAATTCTAAGACTAAACTCTCAAAAGCACTAGCATCTATGGCCATCGGCTTTTATTAAAAACTCTACCGCACTTGAGATACGAACCACGACCATTAACTTGCGACAAGAAAAATTTATTATACGATCAGAAAAATTTAATATACGACCAGAAAAATTTATTATACGACCAAAAAAATTGCTAGTCGAGATTCCTCGCCTTCGGCTACTCAGGCGATAGAATAAAAATAGAAAAGAGTAACTTGAGGGAATATAAGAGCATTGTAAAACAATTGGCAATAAGCCCATTTATTTTGTTTATTTACAATTTTATATATTGCATGTATTGACAATATTTGATATATTATTTCTCTTTCGAAATTGCTGTGGTTATCACAGTTCTTTCAATGGATGTTTTGACATCGAATTTTCTGGCTTATTTTAGATATATACGTTTCCAAAGAAAAAAAAAAATTTTTTTTTTGATGGATTAGAATCTCTCTAAAAAAAAAGAATTGTTCAAATATTCTTGAACTACTAAATACTTAAAATTCCGAATATCATGGTAGATGTGTGTGTATTAAAAATTTTTTGGCACAGATTGAAAAAAACCAGCGAATGCTTCCTTGTTTATGGCTTAAATTGCATTTTCAATTTCTTCCATGACTACATTTTATGATCCCTTGTTTTTGCGCTCTTCAAAGAGCAAAGCGCTTAAGAAATCAGCTGTACCATCGGTTATGTTAAATTCAAAAGACAAGACAGCTAAAAAGTCAAAGTTAGCCATAGACGATATGAAAACTAAAGAAGTGCAGCAAGGCATTAAAAAAAGTCTGGAGGACATGAGCAACAATTTAGTCAGGAGTAATTGCCGTTTATGCTGTATCTCTTCGATACCTGCTGCTGCATTCAATTACGCGCTATGTGGCATGTTACAAAAATGTTTTCCCGCTTTTAATATTCAGCAAGAAGCCCTTTGTGGATTTCAAGTTAGGAAATCATGCTACCAAGTCATTGTGTCACGAAAGTTTGGCCGGTTTACGTTGACGTAATATTTTTAAGAACTGTTTTTCACTAACCCTATGATAAAAAAATGCATTAATATTGTCATTTGGATTTTTGCCATTTTGCGCACTTGTAAAAATTTCTTTGTTGCCACTCGTAATCGCTAGCTGATTTTTTCCTTTACATAGTTTATAAAGAAGAATACCCGTACAGAGTTGTTTTCAATGGAGTTCGATTCTGCTGGTGTGAGAAATTTGTCTATCGTATCATCTTCCTTGCTCTTAACTATCTCCAGTAAAAGTTTGATGATTTCGGGTATTTCGATGTGTGAGCTTGTCGTTTGATTAAAACGTACCACAGTTGAAGTGGCAAGGGGCTCGTTTTGGTGTCCCTGAATTTAACATGTATAAAAGACTTTCATATCCGTGTTAAAATTATCGATTATAAGTTTAGCGTCTTGATCGGTAAATACTGCGAGTGTCTTTTCGTTTCCTTGCGACTTTAGGCCATTATGGTAAAATTTCCAAGAAGGTATCGAAAAACCACGAAAATCTGCACCCAAATCCATCCTTCCCAGTCAAGGTCCCATTAAACGGCGATGCAAGTAAGCGTTGCATCGTGACGAGGAAGCTCGTACTTTTATAGATGGATCTTGAGTAAAGAGTTCTCGTAATGACATCTAAACGCGTTAAGCATTTCCCAAGGTAACGCGAAGCCACTGTCATAGCAACATTCATCTATTTCCAGGACACGTAAATCATCGAGTTCTTTGACAGCAATAAGCGCGGTTGAGCTAACAATCATGCCATCCTTATCTGAGGTAGACCACAGTTGAGGATGCCCGTCTATGGTAGACTGAAAACGTGCACTTTCGCCCTCCTCTATTACACGATTATTGGGAATGCTTAAAAATTTAGGTGTCTTCGATGAATTGCGCATGGAAGGTGATTTGGGAGCGACCGAAGTGACCGAAATGGACGGTGCCGCTTTTTTAGAAGCCGTAATCGACGAAATGGAAGACCTAGGTTTAAGAGATTCAACCCTTTATAGCCATGCTCGTCCGGTACTGGATGAATTCGAGCCTTTATTCATATATCATAGCCTTTAGACGCCTGTAATAATGGTGCTAAGGATACCAATATATTTATTTTCTGATGAGCACTGGTTGTCACTACACTGTCTTCTGAGAGATAAAGGCTATTCTTCATATCCCAAGCAATAACATTTCGTATATATTTTTCTAATTTCCCTTTTCTGATCAAAATTTCGCATTTATTGTCTTCATAAACTCTCACGCCGCCATCTTCAACCTTCTTTAAACATCATTAAAATCAAATTAAAATAAAACAATCATACTTACGCATTCCTTTAGAGGCTATCATTACCTAATCATACTTACGGTAGAAAAGTATTTGTATATGTATGCAGCGTGTTGAAAACGCCAGCTTCAGATATTTGATGGTGAGGATCAAGTTATAGCTCTTGTCGGAAACAGATTTGGAATGTCGTTTTTTCCACCAAGGTGGCATCCCCCTTTCGCAAACTGGAGTGCATTTTCTCTTTTTGCGTTTCTATCTAGCGGAAAGTGCATTGGATTGTTGTTGCTTTCACCTTTCGGCTATCGGATTAAATTTTCATTGCGTCAATCTTTCGCAAACGGGAGTCGATTTTTTTCGTATTGTGTTTCATCTTTTGGAAACTGGATGGGACTTTCATTGTTTTCGAAAACTGAATTCAAATTCGATTGTTTCCACCTTTGAGAAACTAGTTTGGATTTTCATTGTTTCCATTCTTCGGAAAGTGGATTGGTTTGCTGTTGGTTTCATCTTTCGGAAACTGGTGTAGTTTTTCTCCTATTGTGCTTCCATCCTACGGAAACTGAGTTCAATTTTCGTTGTTTCCATCCTTCGGGAAATAGATTGGATTTTGATTGTTTCTATCTTTCGGCAACTGGTTTGGATTGCTTTCGTCTTTCTGAAATTGGATTGGATTCTCATAGTTTCTCGGAAAGTGAACTGAATTTTGAATGTTTCTATCCTTGGGAAACTAAGTTCAATTTTCATTGTTTCCATATTTCGGAAGATGGATTGGATTTTCATTGCTTCCATCTCTCGGAAAATGGATTGCACTGTCGTTGTTTTCATCTTTCGGAAATTGAATATAATTTTCATTGTTGCTACAATTGGCAATTGGATTCAATTTTCATTGCTGCCATCTTTCGGCAATGGCATCGAATTTTCATTATTTCTTTTTTTTGGAAACTGAATTGGATTTTCATTGTTTCTGTCTTTCGGAAAATGGATTGGATTGTCGTTGGTTTCATCTTTCCGAAACCGGATTCTATCTTTCAGAAACTAAGTTGGTTTGTCGTTGTTTATTCGGAAACGGAACTGAAACTTGATTGTTTCCGTCTTTTGGAAACAGAATTAGATTTTCATTATGTCCAACTTTTGGAAAGTGAACGGAATTTTGATTGTTTCCATCTTTCGGAAACTGGAATGGAGTTTCTGCTATTATTTTTTCCTCTTTCACACACAGCAGTGGAATTTCTCCTATTGTGTTTTCATCTTCCGGAATCTTCCTGGTTGGACTTACAGTGTTTCCATCTTTCGGAAACTGGTTCGAATTTCCATTGTCTCCATCTTTCGGATACTGGATTGGATTGTCGATGTTTTCATCTTTCGGAAATTGGATTTTCATTGTTATTATATTACGAAGACTGAACTGAATTGTAATTGTTTACATATTTGGGAAACCAGATTGGATTTTCATCGATTCCATCTTTCGGGAACTTGATTGGATTTGCATTGTTTCCCTCCTTTAGAAACTGGTGCGGATCTTCTGCTATTGTGCTTCCATATTTCGTGAACTAGGTTAGATTGTCGGTGTTTTCTTCATTTGAAGAGTGAACTGAATTTTGATAGTTTGCATGTTTCGGAAACAGGATTGGACTTTGATTGTTTTCCTCCTTTGGAAACTGGTGTGGATTTTCTTCTATCTTTTTTCCATCTTTCGAAAACTGGAGTGGATTTTCTCCTGCTGTGTTTTCATATTTCGGAAATTGAACTGATTTTCATTCTTTCTATCTCTCGGAAAATGGATCATATTTTGATTTTCTCCAAGTTTCGGAAAGGGGTGTGGATATTCTTCTATTGTGTTTCCATCTTTCATTATCATCGAAGGTGCTCCTTAATCGTTTTTTAATTTGGGGAAAGAACCCGGAGGTGGAATTTAATTTGTGGAAAGAATCCGGAGATGGAACTTTGATGTTGATGAGATATTGTCATCGTTCTGTTCTATTTCTTTTATTTGTTTTTAATGGACTATTTTTTTTATAAATGCTTGATATGGAGCGTTAGGACGACATCTGTGGCCAACACTGTATTGCGACCGGTATATTTTAGATATTGTTGTAACAAATGCTTATCGCAAATATAATAATTTTTTTTATTATTTGAAGCATTTAATAAGATTAGAAAATTTTGTAATTTCTTTGCAAGTATTTTAACCACAGACCTATTTTCAACGTACTATGCAAGCTTGTGTTCATTATGAATATAACAATCCTAAAAATATAAGTATAACGAACACGTTATAATACAAAATAATTGTAAAACTTACTAAAAAAATAAAAGGTTTCGATTTTCATTCTTCTCTTTTCAGAAATAATATAATATAAATTCTTTTGAAAAATTGAAATGCCTTATATAAAGAGTTTTGACGAAATTTCGAGCAAAACGTAGAATCTACGTAATCCACAAAAATTTCCCAACAAAAATCTTTTGCTATAATTTCGTTAAGCTTTCTCGCCCCAATTAATTAATACACGTACATGTGTTTACGTTCATATAAACGATTGCTGATGTTTCATACATTCTCAATCCATCTTTGAGAATAAACGCGTTAAGCTTTTTGCTCCTATTCAAAAATTATTAAAAAGACGAAAAATAAGGTTTCTTTAATAATTGTTTCGGATGGAGTGATATAAGTGATGTGAGTAAAAAGAATTATGTTTCTTCTTTATATATATATGTAAGAATCTAGTAACGTGCGTGTAACATATGCAATATAAGGATGGTATTCATGTGTGTGCGTGGGATTTGTTAAAAAAGATCTATTCTCATTTAACCGTTGGCTTTTGTAAAACTTATTGACGTCTTTTATTTACGGATTTTAATTAATTATAACAAATTACGAAAAGGAGCGGTTAATAATTAAAAAAAAAAAAAACCAATTAAACATTTTAACGCGAAATAAATACATCGTTTGAATCCATTTCTTTATTTAAAATATATTTGATTTTTGCCTTTACTTAGCCTTCAGACGCCATTGTTTAAGTGACAGTTCTGCGTGAAAGGCTTGTGTATTCTAAATTGTATATATGTATATCGATATAAACTTGGTATATTTACTCAAGTTGAACAAAACATTTGCTGTTGATTTGCTGACTCACAGAAGAAGATATATCGAAATAAACTGTTAGATAGCAGATTTGTTTATATATTTTTTACGGTTTAATGTTGTCAGTTGGTTTAAAACCTTAATCGGACAATCATAATTTTATATGAAATAAAAATAGAAAAAAAATGTATTTTAAAAAATCAAGTAACGACAAAAACGTGCGATAACATTTTATCTAAAAATAGCAATATCAAAAAACAAAAGACGTTAAAATGTGTTAAAAAAGAAGTTAAGGTCGTGCAATAATGAAAAAGAAGAAAACAATATATTAATGCGAATTGCTATTTTAAAAACGGAAAGCGTTGAAAGTAAACCGTTAAGCTTATTTAAGATTTATAGAGCTTATGTTAATTAAGATTTTCATGTTATTCAGAATATTTCGTTTATTTCTTTACTGACGATCGTCTGGACGGGTGGAGGGAACTGCTGAAAACTTAAGCTTTTCATATACCAGGTATAATTTTTCGTCATTGAAATCTTTCCCTTAATAGTTGCAATTGCATTCCAGAGCAGTCCGCGAATCAACTTGTTCACAATAATTGCCTTTGCTAGCAGCCATGTCACTTGTCTAACCTTGTGCTCGATTAGAATACATATACACTTTATAGGATAACAAGTATAATAATTAACCCGTTGTATAATGTATGTATATCATGGATGAGTACGACGTTTTGAAGTAATTCAATCATTCATGTGTGTCCCTCTCTTTTCACTTGTTTGTTATGCGTACGCTGGCGATGTTGTAAACTTTGAGATTGAACAGTAAAGGTTCTCTTAAATTTTTGTGTTCACTTATACGGAATTTTGTCAGAAAATTATTTATAAAATTATTTAAAAAATTAAATACCAGAGGCTTTTCGGAATTTTAACTTTAACCCTTAGTGGCCGCTGACGAGATTTCTTGCATATTTATTGTGGGACTTCAAAGATCGCCCAGAAGGCTTCTCGTTTTTAGCTCTGTTCTCAATGAGGGTAATGAAAAAATAATAAAAAATCAATGAGGGGCACGAGAAATTGATAAAAAATCAATGAAAAATTTGTACAATATATCAAATGAATGGAGCTTCAATCTAATTTATGATCAAGTAAATATATTTTACCGGTCTTCTTCGTTACGATATAAATGTAAAAATATTTTAAAAAATATTTAAAAAATACTTTTATTTGTATACATATAAATGTATATATGGTTAATTCCATGAGTATTCTTATTTGTGTACTTTGTTATTAAAATCGAATAAAAAAAAAATATTATAAGTAGAAAATTATGGCCTTGTTTAGATATATAAGCACAAACGGATCATCTCCTTTTCGACACATCAACCTGATGAAATCTTATGAATTCTCGAACCATTAAAAAGAAAACAAATAAAGACGATATCTATTGCGAATACGCTTTGTCACTTTGATTAGAATGAGAAAAGAAAAGCACAAAACTTTAAGTTCTATATTGTGATTGTTTCCACAAATTAAGTTCTACATTGTGATTCTTTCCATAAATTAAATTCTACATTCTTCTATAAAAAAAAAAATAAAGAGGTCAGTACATCGCCTTTATGTACCAAAATGTCGCCGGGCGGTGCGTGAGTAGTTTTAATTGTAACGTCAAAGCCCTGAAAGGCAAAAAGAAGAAAAAAGAAAATAAATAAAAATGAGAAAAGAAAAGCACAAAATAATAACGTTGGAGTAAATAAACAGAAGCCGTAATAAGTACCTCGTCCGAGATGAAAATAAAAGCCAATAGGAAAAAATGAAGGTCCATTTGCATGTAAACTTCGTAGCACCCATTATTAACATTTGGACAAATACGGTTTACTCTATTAAATGCTAAGTTAATATTAGCAGTATAATGTATTGCTAAAAATAGGCCAGTTCAAATTTGGATAATTAAACATAATTCAAGTAAGCAGCCGAAATTTCATGAAGAAGAAGAAGATCTACTAATGCCTTATTAGCAATGAAAAATAAAGGAAGCTTAATTGTATCTATTTATAAGTTTTACTACTGCAATTAAAGTAATTAATAATCTTATTAAACAGCTTGCGGCTTTATTATGGAAATTCGAAATATTATTGACAGAAAATCATTTACAAAGTTAACTGGGTATCAATTTGAGGTTTATCATTGTACAAAACTTCATTTTTCTTGTCGCATCAACACGCTTGATCGACTTATTTCCTTCCAGATCACGTTTCAACTCTTTGGGTTTGAGGAAATCTTTTCCTTACAAACCTTTCGCAAGAACTTACGAATAACATAATTTATTCTGATGGTTTTGTTAACCCTAGTACAAGCTCGACTACAGTGTGTCGCCGAGAAATTTGTTGTCGATCGTCAGCTGGGAAATACGTCTGTGTTTTAGGAAGAGTAAAGCATCGAAAAATTTTTATTTGATTCGAGGCAGCTATTTTCTTCATGCAATATTAAAAGGCATACTCCGTTACCTCGTAAATCTTTATTTTTTATAGGCATCTTTGCATAGCATCATCCATTGTATAGTTCCGAAAGAAAACGTGACAAAAAGATACTTATATAGGGGATAGACTGCAAAACCTAGACGGATAGTTAAAATTTTTTTATTATTATTATTAATTTCGCCACAGAAATAAATTCTAAGACTAAACTCTTAAAAGCACTAGCATCTAAGGCTATCGGCTTTTATTAAAAACTCTACCGCACTTGAGATTCGAACCCACGACCATTGACTTGCTAGTCGAGATTCCTCCCCTTCGGCTACTCAGTTTAAAGTTAACTTTTTGTCAAGAATTGCTGTTCACCTATCTTCGTGATAGCAAATCAATAATTAGACCTTGATATTGTAAGAAGTTCTTATATGAGACTGGGCCCGAAAAATAGATCTCAAACACTCCGCAGTAAATTTTAAACTGAACTAATTTTTATAATAAAATATGAATCTTCAGACCTCATTGTCACATCAACTTAACGTTAATTTTTTGTAAGAACAGTTAGATAATAGGGGCTTCAAGCAATCCTCCCATTCGATCCAAGCGTTTCATATTTTTTATAAGTCGAAATATTATTATTGCTCAAAAATATTAACAATAATTTTCATATTACATTAACCGCCTGAGTAGCCGACGTTAAATAAAGGCGGGCAGACGGATCGACGGACAGATATAGGATATACTTTACGTGAAGTCATTTCTTGCCCAATATAAATGTCAAAAATTGTTTTTTCATATATTTACTTGGAAAAATCCCTACGGATTCGTACGGGTTCGATTATAAGGACATCCAGGTATGCGTGTTGCAGATGATGAAGCATACATAAGAGCGATGCATATATATATAAATAACTGCCATGAATAAATAATTCAAATTTAATTTATTTATTAGTTAAGTCCAAAAGCACATGAATATTTAAGATTACATCTGAAATTTATTTGCTTACACGAACCTATGCGAGTATAAATTGGACCAGTACATATACGTGCGCCTACCTCTGTTTCGGGTTAAGTTAAATGTTTATCATCAACTGCTTCATAAATCAGTCTCCGTACGTACTTGTGTCGTTTGTATGTAGTTAGGTTCTAAATTATACTTTTTTAACGCAAAAGTATAAAAAATTGCAATCAAAACAAAGAAAAAAGCTGAAAACATTTCATTAGCGGAGAAACTTTATCATTTTACAATCGAACCCGCATAAACAAGAATCAGTCAATCGTATAAACTTTCGAATTAACAATAATAATTAATGCCTCTGCAGCGTTTAGGCAGAAAATTTATGTTTAGAGCTGAAACCGTTGGTTAGACGATAACCGGTCATTGCTGGACTGCTGGTCAATGAACTTATTTTACTGTACGGAGCAACAGTCCGATTGTCTACATATTAAACAAACTCGCTATAAACATTTAATTACTGTATAATAATTTTTTTAATAAATCGTGCAGTACAATTCTGCTGCTTAGCATGTCGAGATTTTTTGTTTTTTTTTATGACTCAATCACTCAGGGGATGTCTCTTAAAGGTGTAGCACCATGACGTTCAGAAGGAAATGAGGAAAGCGAATAAGGTAGGAAGCGGGGCGCTGTCCAGCTGCCCCTCGGTTAGACCAAAGTAAATTCCATTTCTCTGAGATTCAAATCCGCGACAGTCGCGGCTCTAGACAGATTCAGTAAATAGAGATTAAATATTTCAGATGCCAGTAAAGTTATAGGAAGAATTTGCATTTTTCTTCGCGAAGAGAATTTTGTCTTTATTGGCTCTCTTCTAGCGCAATTAATAAGCGATGTATATCTATATATAATTTCAAATATGGTGTAGAGTGACAAACTTGGATTTAAAAAAAAAGAAAAAACAAAATGCCTTGCAAATGTGAGATTAGAGTCTAAGGTTTGGTTTTCGCTTTTTCTTTTACATCAATCAAATCAAATCCTCTTTAAGATCGTATTGTGCGCTTTGAAAGATTATCCAGAAAGAAAAACAAAGGAACAAGTAATATTACATATTTTTGAATGATACGGCCTATATTATTCTTTAAGAGGTGGTTTCGCCGAAGTGCGCCAGACAGAAAGAAATAAATTCTAAGATTGAAAGTAGGATGACCGTTAGCAACAATGACTATCCGCTCTCTTTTCAAGAGACAGGCTAGGGGTTAGTCTAGTCGCTTTAATGACGTTAAGTATATTATTGATATTAAGTTCTCCAGATACTATCAAGATGTAAGTAACAGCTTATAGCTTTAACATACACCAATATTTTATTACGTCGGACCAATTCTGAATCCATATAAGGTTCTTTCTCCGTCTGTTTCATATCTGTACATGTGTGTGGTAAATACAGAAACCTTTCAGTTATTTTGGCGAAATTTGGTGACTGATATCCTTTGGCTCCAGGACGAACGCTTTTCCCCTACTTACCATATAATGTCTTATTTTGAAGAAAATTGAAACTTTCAAAAATTTTCGACAAAAGTCGCTGAGCAATAGTATTTTGCCGTTCTGAATCGATATGAAATATTTAGTTCGGCTGGGATCATTTTTTGAACCTCTTTTTATATAAAAGTGTTTACAAAAAATTAATCCTTTTATGATAAAAAGATTTAATTTTCAATGTTTCCTTGTGAAAATTGGTTCATGACAACAAATGGATAACAAAACCAACTTTATAAATTTGGAATATATAGCTCTATTTTTTTTAATAAAAATGTTTGGAATCGTAAAATCTTCATGATCATTTCACATGCGAAGCCTTAAGAAAAGTGTTTATAGAGAAAAAATAATATTTCACACAAAAATCGATACAATCTGGCATTTTGAAATATAAAATATGCACGGAGAATTAGGATCGGGACCATTATGTGAATGAATTTCATCTGCCTTCACTACCGGACCTTGTTCCAGCCCCCTGATAAGAAAACACAAATTTGAATGAGTTTATTAAGTTATTAAAGTCGCTAGGCAATAGTAAATAATTGGTTTTATATTTCTATT